CCCCGATGAGCCCCCGATGAGCCCCCCAATGAGCAGTTTTGAGCTTGTGTAGTGCTTTCAAAGTATAGTTATGGTTGTGGTGTGATCGAATTCCAGCCAAAGCAGGATTGCATTCTCTGCTGATCTCGAGCTATATAGCGAAGCTTGTGCTGTGCTAGGGGATCTGCCTGATTTGCTGTAGATCGAAAATGGCAGACTTTCAAGACACGCTCGTGGATGCAACGATTGCTATCGATCCCCCCAGTGCCGAGCCCGATGCCAAGAGTGCCGGCACTACCGAGAAGCCCGATGCCAACAGTGCCGCTAGAACCGAGAAGCCCGATGCCCACAGTGCCGCTACAGCCGAGAAGCCCGATGCCTACAGTGCCAGCACTACCAAGAAGCCCGATGCCGACAGTACCGGCACTACCAAGAAGCCCGATGCCGACAGTGCCGCCGTGAAGCCCGATGCCGTCATGCAGGAACCAGCAGCCGAGGGTGCCGACTTACCTGAGGCTTTGCAGCAGAAGGCTCGTGGCTTTTATGCAGCTGCCCATGGTTTGGATTTGTCCAGTGTCACGATCCAGCAGGTGGCTTCGTCTACCGAGGGTGTCTACTTCTGGGCGACCAAAGACCAGGATGCCTCGGCTAGGGGTTCTGGTTCTCAGCAGATGAAAAGGGCCATGAAGTGGAGGCCTGACATGGCAGCGGCATATGCTGTCTTAACTGACAGCATGAAACAGGACTTCCGCCGAGGCTGGATGGCGACCAAAAAGTTCGACTTCGTAACAAGCCGCAGAACGTCCACTACATCCTTTCGGAAGAGGCGGGAGGAGGCAGGCAAATTCGTGACGAGGCTCCAGTTGACGAACATCTTGGGCGGCACGCAGGAGCCAGAGGCCATACAGCAGGCCAGCAGATACATCTCCATGTGCACGCAGCCATCCTTGAAGGACGGGGTTTTCTTAACTACATCAATAGTCTCCGTAGTAATAATATACATACATAGAGCCCCCCAATACTTAGTTGAAGCCCCGCTGCCCTAAATCCCAAAAACCCACACCGAACCGCCACGCCAAAACCCTAACCCCTAAAGGCACCAACCCATACCCCGAAGCTTTAGAGGGTAGGGGCTTATAAGGGTTTAAGGTATAGGTTTAGGATTTTGGGTTCACGGTTTTTGTGTGATGGTTATCGAGGAGTATTGCACCCAGTACAACGATTGGCTGGGTGCAGAAACGTACTTTTGGGTGGAAACCTTGATCAGCTCCTGCAACCTGCAAGAATGGACCAACACGGTTACGGTTGAGACTACGGACACTGTCTCCGGTAGCATGGCGGCAAAGGTTACGGCTTGCAAGGCTATGAGGGCCTACGCAGTCCACCACAACAAGCAGCTTCAGGAGGTGACTGAGGAGGCTGTTGCTTCCAGTTCTTTGGGCCTCAAAGGCTGGGCGGAGCTCTACGACGGCATGCCTCAGGAAGCCCACAAAAGCTTCCCGAAATCTGATGGCTCCAACAACCAGCCCTTCGAAGCCACCGGGAACACTGCTGTTCAAAAGGCCAAGCGAGCCAAAGTCGCCGTGGATCCCGCCGGTGCCGGTGATGCTGTTCCTCCGAGCACGGAAGACGACAAGGCGGGCGGGAAGACCAAGGTGAAGAAGGACCAGACAGCTTCCAAAAAGGAGAAGGAAATCAAGGAGTTCCTTGCAATGGAACAGAGCTCGGATGTGACGATGAGTCGTGTCATGGGCGAGATTGGCAGGAATGCTGCTGGGTGGAGTTGGGCTACCGACCTCATCGGCACCTACAAGCAGCATCGCACGCAGGTCTTGAAATTATACTGTGACAACACTGAGTTCCAATCCCTCAAGATTGCAGCTCTCAGCCCCAAGGAATCCCAGAAGCTGAAGAAGGAATTCGGCGATTCGTATGTCAGCAAGCTGGTGGAGTTTGTCACAGTCCTGGGACCCGCCATCGAGCAGATGTCCCGGTGTGCCTTGCAGGTGCAGGAGATGGCAACGGCGAAGGATGCGGCTTCGAAGAATGCTTCGGCTTCGAAACCCAAGGCTAAGGCCAAATCTAAGAGCAAGCTCCGACGATCCAATTCGACTAAGTCGTTGGCCTCTGTCGCATAGCTTGGCTTCGCAAAGGTGTTTCGTTTCACGGGTTGCAAGCAGCAGGTGTTTGGCCGGGAGTTTGAGGCTGGTCCCTCGAGGCGACTAAAGACTAGAGGTCATGTATTGGTGTTTTAATATTTGGGGTTTTGGGCTTTCGGGTTTGAGCTTTTAGTTTTAAGGCAGAAGCACTAGGGGTTTGGCTTTGGGGCTGAGGTTTTAGGGCTTACGCTTTGGGGTCTCCGATACCTTAACCTATGTTTTTTTTTACACTGGCTTATCCCCCGACCTTTTCACTCCGCTGTGTTGTTTGTTGCGGTGTGTAGCGAACTGGTCCTGACTTTACGCACCCCTCTGTTACTTCGTACATCTACATCATATAAGCCCCTATAGTGATCCTGATATACTAGAACCAAACGACTTAGAGCGAGATTTGGTCCAGGTGTTCTCCTCACGCTGAAGTTTAGGGCTCGGTGGTTTGAGGTTCAGGGACGAACTCTGGGGCTTTAGTTACAAGGGCTTGCATAGGATGGCTTCCGATCGAACTTAGCTGCTGCTTGCGGGGTTATCCATTATCTCGCGATAATCGGAGCTAGCTGGGGAGCTTGGCAAAAGGCCGGCGAAACCCTCAACGGCGACTGGGGCTCCTGGTGTAAGAAACATGACAGTCCGTACTGTGCCTTTTCGAGGCAATCCTTTGTGCACGCAGGTCAGTTGGCGAGCTGTTTCGCAGTATGCCGTAGGATCCAAGTGCTGTGTTGCTTGCTGCATGTAGATCCGAGCAGGCTGTGTCAGGCCAATGCAGTTTAGCTTCGAAGATCAATCGTGATAGCAATGACCCTTAACTGCTGCTAGCCCCCAAACCACAAACCCTTAATCCCAACCAAGTTGTCAAGTGGCCTCGCTAAAATCTTAATCCTATAATCCCAACCCAATGATCAACTCCTCGCCTCTTAATTTATGATGTGTTCAGACATGAGATATGTCTCTGAAGCGAGCACGGGCCGAGCTACAAGCTGGAGGCTACGGGCTTTCGGATGATTGGCTCAGGGAAGAAGATCAAGGCGAGATCGATGCTGCAGCTGCTGAGTTTCGTCGATTTCTTTTGGGGAAGTACACCGACGGCTCGTTCACCGCCGCCGACACCTGCCTCCTCGCCTACTACCATACCCAAAGTGGGGGCCGAGGTGCCGAAGACTTCGCTCTGGCTCCAGACCAAGCCTCCACGCATGGATCCCAACATTTGAAGCCCCTCAAGCTGCAGTAAGTTCCGAACGCCTGGAACCCCAAAGAAGTCACACATTCCAAATCCTCGCTCAGAGCCCCTATGGATACCTAAACCTGAAACTACAAATCCTAATCGGCATTCT